CACGAAAACTTTTTATTTCCATTTTTCCGAAAAGGGCCAATTTGCCGATTGTGCAAAAATATAAATCCACCCCATGTTTCTCGGTTGAACTTCATTGTTATTTGGCGTAACTATCAGGTTGTTTCCATTTCCTCTTTCTTAGGTGATGACGGAAGCAACACCGCTGTCGGGCTCAGAAAAAAGGCAAAATCTACAAGATAGCAGGGAGATTTGCCGTGCAGTCAAATCGCGCGTGATTTGAGCCCCGCTTATGTGGTTGTTGAGCATTTCGTCAAGAATCCTGCAGCATGTGGAATCCAGAAGAGCACTGAACCCTTTTCTTCGCGTTTCGGTTGCGATGACCGTAGTGTTATGGGAAAAGCAGCCGATTCTCCCAAGGGGTGCTCAGGAACTCAACCTTCAAAAAAACCTAATTTCTTGAAAGACACCGTTTGGCGTGTGTTAGAGGAACTCTGAGACCACTGTTCGACGGAAAATGAGTAGGACACATTTAAAAATCACGAATCATCGCAAAAATCAAGCCAAGTTTCCCAAGATCAGTGGTCGATCTGGCCGGAGCGAGGCCATATTGGCCGCGCAGTACCTTTTGATGGCTGTCTTCACTTTTCTTACTGGTTTCCTTTTTCAATATGAGTTCCTGTCTCTGCCAAACACACTGCAGAAAAAAAAACAGAGAAATTCAGACAGACAGTAAAAAGTAGCGTGTAGAAAGCCGAACTTAATGCAGCTGGCGCAGCATGCACACATTATGGAAGAGTTGGCTTGATTTTTGGGATGGCTTTGTGTCTTCAACTGTGCCATACTCATTTTCCGTCGAAGAGTGGTCTCAGAGTTCTTCTAACACACGCCAAACGGTGACTTTCAAGAAATTAGGTTTTTTGAAGGTTGAGTTCCTGAGCACCCCTTGGGAGAATCGGCTGCTTTTCCCATAACACTACGGTCATCGCAACCGAAACGCGAAGAAAAGGGTTCAGTGCTCTTCTGGATTCCACATGCTGCAGGATTCTTGACGAAATGCTCAACAACCACATAAGCGGGGCTCAAATCACGCGCGGTTTGACTGCATGGCAAATCTCCCCACTCTTTTGCAGATTTCGCCTTTTTTTCGGAGTCCGACAGCGGTGTTACTTCCGTCATCACCTAAGAAAGAGGAAGTGGAAACAACCTGACAGTTACGCCAAATAACAATGAAGTTCAACCGAGAAACATGGGGTGGATTTATATTTTTGCACAATCGGCAAAGTGGCCCTTTTCTGAAAAATGAAAATAAAAAATTTTCGTGTTTTCGAAATGGAAGTTGGTGTTTACACTCGAAATTATATTTATATTGAGCACATTTTTCTTTCAAAGGCTTTTTCAGAAACACCCTATCATGCGAATTTTCAAGAACTTTCCAGGTGGATTTATATTTTTGCAAGCAGTGTATCTGCACACATTACTAAAAACAATACTAAAAGGTTATCTTTCGCCTATCATACCATCTCATTTTCTTCCGGTGGCAATAGACCAAACATTTCTGCTGCCCTCTCCCGCTCGTGGTCCGTTTTCAATCTGACGACGTCTCCTTCAGGTATTTCCACTACATCAACACTGCTCTCCATTGTTAGTGTTCTGAATCTAGTGCCAATAAACTTGAGAATTCAATTATTTATTATATAGTAGAGTCACCATGAAACATCCAGTATTACCTACCTCAGCACAAATCCTTCGTTCCATCCAAGTTACATCCTTCTGCATCAATGCTATCATAGCCTCAACAGCGCAATTGAACTCATCTAAGGCAGTACAGTCACATGGAATTCGGTGGTCATATACACCATCAATCGAATGAATAAGTGCAGTCAAGCGAGGGAAATCCGTTGGAACTGAAAAAAGATGGAAATTCTCTCCAATTTCTTCTTACACCGCTCATCTTCGAAAACGACAAATAGAAGTAAAATTTTTGAAAAATTTACGCAACTACAGCTTCTAGCGTCGTTCTAAATTCCAAAATAAAATCAGAAGGAAAACTCACCCTCCACTTCAGGAAGCCCTAACATACTCAATTGGTTAGGAGATGCTGGAGAATAAGGAAGACGACAAATAATATACTTCTTAAGTGCAGTTCGTGTGCACTCCTACAAGTAAGAAATTCCGTATATCTAGTCACGGAATAGAACCTAGTTTTCAATAAAGATACCCTGATAATCATGTTTATTGCCGGAACGAAGAGATCTGGGAAAGGGCGTCGCTGCCGCAGGTTTTGACCGTCGAGTACCAACTGAGAGCATGGTGATATAACAATTAATACGCGAGAGGCACGACAAATCGAATCAACAAGCCAGCGATATGGACGAACAACTAAATCGAGAGAAATAAGAAAACTCTAACAAAATGAACATGGAAATTGAAATCGATGCTAAAAATACATTCACTTCACAATATGGATATTGAATTTGTAGTACCAGAATAAATCTAAAATTTACCCGAACTACTCATCTCGTGATGATCCAGAAGAACTGTGACCTCTGCGTGTTTTTCAAGAACCCGACTGAGAGCAAGTATTACTGCCGAGTGCTCAGCACAATCATCTGGCGATAGTATAAGAACCAAAGGCTTCTCCTGTAGCTCAATTTCTCGCACTTGCACCGGTGTGTGTCGTGCCCGTCTTCGTAAAACAAACAAGTATAGCATGCTACACGATGCTACACCGAACAGTATACCTGAAAAGACTTCATATTGGTTTATCTCAGGTCATACAGAGATAACTGCATAATGTCCGCCGGGAGTAAAGGTCTAGATTTTTCTCGCGATGTTGCCAACGTGTTAAACAAGGACTCCCCTCCTTCCCCTTCCCCCTTGAAATAATGAGGGGGTGTGGCCGGACGAGCTGTCCGAACCAGCTTGCTCCGCCGGCATTTATTGCTGGCTCGTGCCAGCAAGAAATGCGGCTGCAATCGCATATGCATAATACAAACAGAGACATATAACCAATAGAAATAAGAAATACGATTATTTATCGAGTTGAGCAATTCAAACCAATCGAAAACTGGCAGCACTCCTTCCAACGCATCTACAGTTCACACACAATCGCGCACGCAACCAATCACGCGGTCTCCGCGGCTAATGGGTGGGTAGACCCGACGAAGATGGATCGTGGATCTGACGGGATGGCACCTACCAAAACTCCCTGATTTGTGGCTTTCCAAAATGAGGTTGCGCATGGCGACACTTCAACTGTTTTAGACAAGGGCGCAAGCATTTTTGTCATCCCATTAGTAGCCAAGGTATGAGCCCACCTAGGAATGTTGCTTTGAAAAGTAATTCTATATATTGCTAGAGCCTAACAGCACGTGATGCAGATGTAAGCCATACATTGTTGATATGGCACTTTGTGTTTACATGTAGGCGAAATCCTCCGTTTAAGGAAGGATGGATGTTCTCCCTCTCTCGACCTACAATAAAATGTAGGTCGAGAGAGGGAAAACATTTCTAAAGAGGGAACTAGGTCCCGAATGAGCGGTACGAGGCGTTTCCTACATCGAAAGGTGCGCCTGTAGCGATGTCGTGAAGCCCTACTCTAGACGATGATTCCCTTCGCGGCTTTGCTCACCCACCGATTGGTGATCATAGTTATTGATTCCCGCAGGACTCGATCCGTTTCAGCAGACAGAGAGAGGGTAGTAAAGAGGACCCTTGTTGTTGATGACTTCAGCGCAGGTGTTCTAACGCAGAAATCAACGGGAATCACCGTGTTGCGGGTTCTAAGCCGTTTCCTTTAGCTTTTTTCTTCTTTCCTGCTGCACCTCTTATCCCTAATTTTATTCTCAGCGACTAATATATCGCACCTCTGCCTTCAATCGCGTTTATTGAACAAATCGCTCGAATATGTTTCTTCAAGAAGAGAAACTCACAAGCCAGAGCATACAAAATAGAAGAGCTCGAGTCACGCATTCGACGCAATCCTTTCCATGATAAACTTGCTCGATCAGTAGGAAGTGTAAAATTAATGACAGTGTGCGCACAAAGGCGACACGGAACAGAGCTTATTGGAACATCGTCACAAATTAGCAGGCAATCATGCCGCGGAATATACGCGTACACAACGTACGACCCTTTAGCCACATTTCGCCACTGGAAAACTTCAAATAGGATGAGATGATAACAGAAAGCCACTCTCAGTTAGCAGTTCAATTCTTTCTATTTTTCTAAGAAATCATATGCACCTTGAAACCTGTAGATGGATGAATAACGTTGACAGATTGGAGTGGACGAAGCACGCTATCAAGGTGACGCTCAAATATTGATACCGTGATGATTCTAGCTGAAAAAAAGAACTCAACCACAACCCAACATTTACTTTGAAAAAGACTGTGACAATTACCTTGCGATGATGGTGGCCCCTCGACACGTAACCAAAGCCCATCTTCATCACCAAAATCAACAATCAATAAGGGTGACCAGTCTGGGCTAGAGATATTCTAAAAACACGGTGATGGACGGCAAGCATTACAGTGAAGAGTCCAATGTTCCAAAAAAACTCGAAAAGA